GAATCACTTGAACCTCGGAGGCAGAAGTTGCAGTGAGCCGAGATTGTGCCACTGCACTCCAGTCTGGCAACAGAGGGAGATTCTGTCAAAAAACAAAGACAAGCTCTCCCACCCCAGGTGATTCAGATGCACAGCCAGCTTTGGAAATTGAAGACCTTGAAAGAGTCACATCACCTCTCTGAGTCTCAGCTTCTTTGTCTGTGAATTGGGAAGGAGTGAGGGTTGGTGTCATTATCAAAGGAGATGCTGCAGGTAAAGTCTCTAATAAGACCAAGGCACACGGAAAGGACTCAGGATTGGAATTGAAGAATTAACCATGGATATCAGCATCACTGATACCGAAACTATTGTTTTGTTTTTGTTTTTGCAGAAAGGTGATTTTATTTAGGTAGAGAAAGAGAAGGAAAGGAGAAGAAGAGAAAGGCTTCCATGAAGATTGTGAAGGGGATTCCAGAGGGTAAGTCCCGGAGCGGGGGTCCCACCATGTGGGAGGGGAGAAACTATTGTTTTTGTAACTACATCACTATCATGGGTTGAATAGTGGCATCAAAAAGATATGTCCAGTTCTTAACACCCGATGCCTGTGAATGTGACTTTATTTGAAAGCAGAGTCTTTGCAGATGTAGTTAAAGATCTCAAGATGAGCTTCTGTATCTTATAAGTGTCCTTATAAGATACAGAAAAGGAGAAGACACTCAACACCAGGAAGAAAGCCACGTGCAGACCCATATAAAGATGAAGGCAGAGACTGGAGTGACCGAGCAACAAGCCAAGGAATGGCTGGAGCCACCAGGAGCTGAAAGAGGCAAGGAAACACCCTCCCCCGGAGACTTTAGAGGGGTCACAGCCCTGCTGACACCTTGATTTGGGACTTCTGGCCTCCAGAACCATGGGAGAATAAAATTCTGCTGTTTTAAGCCACATGGTTTGTAGTAATTTATTACAGCTGCCCTCAGAAGCGAATGCACCACTCTTCGGCAGGCACCACACCCAGCACCAAAAACACCAAGGTGAGGAAGGTGCTCTGTGTTTCCCTAGGCACAGTGTCCTCGAAAGTAAGCTCTATCCTGTGACCATTCACAGAAGAGACATGGAATCACAGTCATGAACACAAGTGTCTATGGCTTCCACCAAATCTAAAGATCTTCCTCAAGTGGCACTTCTTCCATCGCCCTCCATTGAGAACCAGGAACTTGAATGCTCAATTCTAACTCAACGGTGGATCACAGGCTTTTTGCCTTCAGATGCGGACATGAATGTAGCCATTGAGCTTCAAGAATGGAGACCAGAATGCTGTGAGTTCAACTTACCAAATATTTCCAGAGGGCCACTTCTGTAAAAGGAGCCATGCTGGGCACAAAGTCCCTGCCCATACCAAGCCCAGAGCCTGCAGGAGGCTGCGGACCAGTGCACAGACAATGACAGGGTGGGAAGGCAGCTGTTGAAGAGGTAGGATGGTGCAGTGGTTAGGATTCTGGGCTCTGCAGCCTGCCTCCATTGGGTGGGCTTGTGACTCATTTATAACCAAGAATATGGAAGAAGTGATGCTGTGTGATCTCCTGCGTGATGGGGTATCGTGCCCCATCCTGCTTCCTCCCCTTTGTTTTTCCCAGGTGTTAGAACCCAGCAAGCCCTTTGCACTTCCAAGTAACACAGATTCTCAGGGTAGAGCCTAGAAATCTGAGTTCGGAGCCTCCAGACTAAACAGCCTTCCAGCTTTATCATTCCCTGACTGTGGCCTTGGGCAAGCCACTTAACCCTTTTATGTCTCTGTTCCCTCATCTCTAAATGGGAAGCAACAATCACACCACCTTCAGAGGATGGCACTTGTCTTGTGAGGACTAAATGAGAAAAACCAGGCAAGTACTGAGCACAGTCCCTGGCACAGAGTAAGTGATGAATAAAGGCATCCGGTGATGAAGAAGGCTGGGGATGGGTAGGAGAGATTGTTCTGGCAGGGGGAACAGCAAGTGCAAAGGCCTGCAGGGAACACGAGGATGGCAGGTTTGGGCACAGATGGCTCCGGCAAGTCAGAGCCCAGAGGACAGAAGGTCCTAACCTAGTCTGGGTCACAGCCCAAACTGGGAAAGCCAAAATCAGAAAAATGCACCTTGTACTCACCAGCTACCACCCCTGATTTCAGGAGGGTCGTGGACCAGGGTTTACCAACCACAGCTCTATTGACATTTTGGTCCAGATCACTGTTTGGGGTGGGGACTGTCCTGTGCATTGCAGGATGGTAGCAGCATCTTTGGCCTCTCCCCACTAAAGGCCACTAGCACCTCCTGCCCCAGTTGTGATGACCAGACTGTCTCCAGACATTGCCAAATGTCTCCTGGGGACACAATTATCCTTAGTTGAGAACAAGGCCCTAAACCCTCTCTCTCAGATCCTGCAGCCTGGGCCACCTGCTTCATTCCATCTCTCCTGAAAGGTAGCTACCGGAAATGGGAGAGACGGTCGGCTTGACTGCGCTGGCCTGGAGAAGCCTGGGCAGAGGAAACAGCGCTGGAAAGGGAGTCATGTAGGAGTCTAAGGCACTCAGAGAACTTAGTAAAATACCAAATCTCAGGTCCCTCCAGGGGCACGGATTTGAGCAGCGCAGTGGCATGGAGATGAGCTGCCTTCCCTTCAAGAAAAACCTCCTTGCCCAGCTGCAGGGCTGTGGTCTGTAGCTAACTTCCAGCTCATCTGTGTTTGCTTCCTTCAAGGTCATGCTTTTTCTGGGCTGCTCCTGGCCAGTGGCTGAGCAAGGTCCTGGGAGTTGAGGGCACGTTCTCCTTAGGGTGGCACCTGGCCAGTGACCATGGTGGTGGCGCCAGGGCCATGGTCACTTCCATCCAACTCAGGACTCCTCTAACCACCTTTGATCTGCAGTTCCCCACTAGGCTGGCAGAAACTTGTCATATCGGCACATCTGTGGTCTGACCCCATCCCATGCCCCATCCTGCTTCCTCTCTTTGTTTTTCCCAGGTGTTAGAGCCCAGCAAGCCCTTTGCCCTTCCAACTAACACAAATGCTCAGGGTAGAGTCTAGAAATCTGAGTTTCCAAATTGTTCCCCAAGTAAGGCCCTTGCTCACTGAGGTCTGGGAGCCTCCAGGCTAAATGGTCTCCCAGTTCTCTGCCAGTGCTGCCATTCTAGGGTTTTATGATTTGGGAGAAACTTGATTTAGCCTGGGACCATGTTTGCATGGGTGCAATAAACCATTCTGTCAAGGATTTTGTGGTTTCCTTCTCTGGGCACTGCTGGTGGTGAGTTTGAAAGGCTTCCCACCTGAAGAGGGAGAAGGAACCTGGGCTTGTGTTATTCTGATTTGAGTTCCCACACAGAGGAAGGGATAACTCTAGGTTCTGTAACTTTCTCATTAGAAAGAGTCAGGAGTCGTAATTGTCCCCATATTACAGATGAGAGGAAATGCGTAACCTAAAGGAAGGAATAAGGACTTCAGAGTCTGCAGATGGTTTGTGGTGGACTTTAAGCTAATTGTTTACTCTCCCTTAACCTCAGCTGTCTCATCTACAAAATGAGGCAATCGGTCATTCATGAACTTTATTGAGTACTTACTGCGTTGAACACGGTTATCCAGAATGGAGATTCAGCTGTGAATAAGACAAGTAAGATGGGACACACATCACAGAGTTTACATTCTAGAAAGGAGAAGGGCAATAGACAGATAGATGAACAAATAGTTTCAGATAGGGCGAGTGTGATGAAGACGGAGAAATGGGGTGATGAGGCAGTGATGGGAACTGGGGTGAGGGTAGGCAGTAACTGGGTGACAAGACACAGTGACATTTAAAATGAGACTTCAAAGATGAGAAGAAATTAGCCACTGGAGGAGCTGGGGGAACGGTGTGCCAGGCAGAGGAAACAGCAAATGCAGAAGCCTAAAGTGGGGAGGGAATGAGCTTGGTGTGGGGAAGGAACCCCCAGAGGTGCAGGAGGTGAGGGCATGAGGGTGGAGAGATTCCCTGCTTCCATGAGGACTTCAGCTGACACTGTCCCTGAGAGGGGCAGCTCCTGGAGTTTGCAGCAGACGAAAGCCATGGTGAAGCTCACTTAGGAAATGACTAAGGCATACTTAGGAGATAATTCACTGAGGCTCACTTAGGAGAGGACTAAGGCTCACTTAGGAGCCTCCGTTTTTAGGATAAAGGACTTGTCCAAGGCCACAAAGCCTACACCCCAGTTTCCTCTCCCAGTCATTCCCCTCTAGCACAGGAGAAGATGACCCAGCTGGGAAGTGCAGAGGCAGACCTCACCACACCAGGTGCCCCTCCAAGCAGACCAAGCTGGAACAGAGGGGCGACAAATCAGCCCCACAGAGCAAAGCACATGGAGCGCTTTGAGGACCTGGACTACTTCTACCCAGCTCTGGGCCATGTGACCCCATGGTCACATGACCAGCTCTAACTACCCCTCCCCATGGAGGGAGATCTGGGCAAATTGCCAGGGAGACTGGGATTATAAATTATATGGGGTTGGACAGAGGGGAAGTAGAGGCTGCCATGTAGCTTTAAATGGTTTTCCCCAGCTCCGGGGTCTCCCTTTTTCTTCCTCTAGCTTTTGTAACCCACAAGCTTTGCTATCCCCAGGGAACTGTGCCTGAACTCACTGGTGAATTGGATTTTTTTTTTCTTCCATTATTTTATTTACTTATTTTCCCAGCTTCATTGAGGTATAATTGAAAAGTTAAAATGTCATAAATTCAAGATGTCCTATGTGATGATTTGATATATGGATACACTTCAAAATGTTTACCATAATCAGATAAATTATTTTAGCAGCCACCCTGGGCAAGGGAGGTGCAGTTCCTGGTTTTGATGTTGTTTTGCTGTGTTTTTGTTCCTGGGAAGCAGCACACTCCATGATTAGACACCTGCATTTCTTGGGAAGCTTTTGCACGCTATGACTTCTGGTCTTACCGCTACCCCTCCACTTCAGGCTCTCATGGGTCCAATCCTGGATGTGGCAACAACTTCTTCCCTCTCTTCCCAGGTGCTAGCCAGGATCACTCCCTCCCAAGTTATTTCAAAGGGAGGGCCAGAGGGAGGATGAAATGAAAGAGAGAAAGAGAGAAAGGAAGGAAGAGAAGGAGGGAGAAGGGAAGGATGTATGGATTTGGATGTATGGGTTCTAGTCCTCCTTCCCTGGCAAACGCCTACTCATCCTTCAGTGCCCATCCAAAATGACACCTCTTCTTGGGCACCATCTCCAGAGTCTCCTTCAAGCAGGTAGCTACATCCCACAGAATAACCACCCATCTGACCATGCAAGTGTGTAGGGGCATGAAGACCAGCCCAGGAACGTGAGATGAATGTTTTGCTTCTTGCTCTGCCACTGACTCACAGGGTACTCTAAGCAAGCCTCTTCACCTCCTTGGTCTCAGTTTCTCCATTTATACCACTAAGGCAGTGGATCTGATGGCCTCAAGTCTCGACATTTTTGTTCTTTTGAGAAGAAGCTCTTGGTGCTGAGTGGTCTTCTCCTGCCCTGGCATCTCACCTTTCAAACGCTTGTCTCTTCTCACCGGACCCACCACTTAGCCTGTGCTCTTGGAGAACACCAGGACTCAGGCTCTCTGCACACATCATTCTAGCTCAACATGTGTGGTAGAATCAGAGGAAAGGAAGGAGTGGAAGGAATAGTCAGTATTTTGGCAAGCTCATCATACCTTCCCCCTTTGTCTAGAAACTTGAACCCAATTTCCCTTTGAAGGCACTACCTCCTTCCCCTGGTCATGAGTGAGTGCAGGTCCCAAGCCTGACAATCAGCTGCACGGTGATTGGTTCAACTCTGGACCTGTGACTCAAGCCAGACCAAGAGAGTGACATGCAGGTCTTTGCCTGGAACTATTCAGAAAGGACCACTATTTTTCTGCTGGGCTATGGATAATATGTGCATCCATGATAGGAGAGCCCTGATAATGAAGCAAGTAAGAGAAGAGCAGAGTGAAGAGATGGTAGGAAAGCAGGTGCCTGAAAATATCATTTGAGCCCCTGGGTCCAGCTGCACCTGAAACCCCACTTTCCTCTGGACTTTGCAGTTACTTGAGTTCATAACTACCCTTTGCCACAAGCTAGATTGAGTCTTAATGCATATAGAAACAAGAGAAATGAAAAAAGAAATGAGAAAAGAGATGGAAGAGGGGCAGCAGAGAATGATTCTCTACTGAAGCCTCCAGAAGGAATCGACTCTGCCAACATCTTGATTTTGGACTTGTGGCCTTCAGAACTGTGAAATGATAAATGTCTGGTTTTGTTTTGTTTTGGTTTTTCTGACAGAGTCTCACTCTGTCGCCAGGCGCGATCTCGGCTCACTGCAACCTCTGCCTCCCGGATGCAAGCAATTCTCCTGCCTCAGCCTCCCGAGCAGCTGGGACTACAGGCACACGCCACCACACTCAGCTAATTTTTGTATTTTTTTTAGTAGAGACGGGGTTTCACCATATTGGCCAGGATGGTCTCGATCTCTTGACCTCGTGATCCGCCTGCCTCGGCCTCTCAAAGTGCTGGGATTACAGCCGTGAGCCACCGCACCTGGCCACGTCTGTTATTTTAAGCCACGTAGTGTGGCTTAAACATTTCCTTATGGCGGCCCTGGGAAATGAATACAGGGAGGAAAAGCCTGCCAGCAGAATGGCATGGGGGTGCCAGGATACCTCCTCTGCCTGAAGCGTAGGTGTAGATGAGGCTAGAATTGTCCATCCTAGCTGCCCAGACACATATGCCTTTGTTTTATGTGGTAACAGTACCTATGATACATATTGGCTACCACACATGTCACTAGGAACCTCCTCTGGAGGACAGAGAAGTCAAATACCTTAATTATTCCAACACAAGTTTGGGTGAACAGATAATCATCACTAAGAGTATACTGTGTACCCACTAAGCACCACGCCTGAGAGAGGCATTTGCTGTTGTCTGAATGTCCCCGCCAAAGTTCCTGCTAAAATTTAATTGCCATTGCAACAATGTTGCAAGGTGAGAACTTCAAGAGATGATCAGGTCATGAGAACTCTGCCCTTGTGAATGAATTAATACTGTGATGGCAGTAGTGGGCCCCCCGTTTCTCTTGCTGTCTGTTTCTCCTGTTAGCTTGCGCTTCTGCCTTTAATCCTGGGATGACACAGCAAGAAGCCCCTCACCAGATGCTGGCACCTTGATATTGGACTTCCCAGCCTCACGAACTGTGAGAAATGCATGTCTTTTCCTTGTGAATTACCCAGTCTGTGGTATTCTGCTATAGCAACAGAAAGGGGACTAAGACAGCATTTTACATACAGTACATTATATCTCTTTTATAAAATAGTGTTTTTACCCAGGAACCTAGATTCAAGTTGCCCTGAATAGATATTATCTCCCTACATTACCTCTTTTCATCCTCACCTATTAGGCAGATACTGCTATTATCCCCATTTAGCAGGTAATACCTCAAGTTCCCAAAGAACTGCTGCATTGAGGAAAGTAAAACCAGTAGCTACTATGTTCACCGGCCCCCTTTGCCCATGGTGCGGCATGGTACACTAAGATATTTTGACAAAGAGAGAGATCGCATTCACATATCTTTTATTGAAGTATGTTATTACAATTGTTCTATTTTATTTCTTATTGTTATTAGTCTCTTACTGTGCCTCATTTATAAATTAAGCCTTACCATAGGTGTGTATATATAGGGAAATACAGTACAGATGTTCCTCAACTTACAGTGGATTTATGTCCTGATAAATCCCCATTAAGTTAAAAATATCTTTAAGTTGAAAATGCATTTAAAACCTCTAACCTACCAAACGTCATAGCTTAGCCTAGCATAACTTGATCATCCTCAAAACACTGACGCTAGCCTACAGTTGGAAAAAAAATCATCTAACACAAAACCTATTTTATAACAAAGCATCGAATATCTTATTTCTT